GGCTAAAACCGCCTTACTATACATGGTCGTTTTTTTTCGGCTAAAAACACCTTGCTATACATGGTCGTTTTTTCGGCTAAAACCGCCTTCCTATACATGGTTGTTTTTTTCGGGTAAAAACGCCTTACTATACATGGTGGTTTTTTTCGGCTCAAAACGCCTCACTCTTCATGGTCGTTTTTTTGGGCTAAAAACGCCATACTATACATGGTTGGTCTTTTTCGGCTCAAAGCGCCTCACTATACATCGTCGTTTTTTTTTGGCTCAAAACGCCTTTCTATACATGGTCGTTATTATCGGCTAAAAACGCCTTACTATATACATGGTCATTTTTTTCGGGTTAAAACGCCTTACTATACATGGTGGTTTTTTTCGGCTAAAAATGCCTTGCTATACATGGTGGTTTTTTTTCAGGTGAAAACGCCTTGCTATACATGGTTGTTTTTTTCGTGGAAAAACGCCTTCCTATACATGGTCATTTTTTTCGGCCAAAAACGCCTTACTATACATGGTCGTTTTTTCGGCTAAAACTGCCTTACTATACATGGTGGTTTTTTTCGGCTCAAAACGCCTCACTATACATGGTCGTTTTTTTTGGCTGAAAACGCCTTTCTATACATGGTCGTTATTGTCGGCTAAAAACGCCTTACTACATACATGGTCGTTTTTTTCGGGTAAAAACATCTTTCTATACATAGTCGTTTTTTCGAGTTAAAATGCCTTATTATACATGGTCGTTTTTTTCGGCTAAAAACGCCTCACTATACATGGTCGTTTTTTTCGGCTAAAAACGCCTTACTATCCATGTTGTTTTTGTCGGCTAAAAACACCTTCCTATTCATGTTCGTTTTTTTCGGGTTAAAACACCTTACTATACATGGTCGTTTTTTTCGGCTAAAAACGCCTTTCTATACATGGTGGTTTTTTTCGGCTCAAAACGCCTCACTATACATAGTGGTTTTTTTCGAGTGAAAATGCCTTGCTCTACATGGTCGTTTTTTTCGGGTTAAAACGCCTTACTATACATGGTCGTTTTTTTTTCGGCTAAAACCATCTTACGATACATAGTCGTTATTTTCCAGTTAAAACGCCTTACTATACGTGGTCGTTTTTTTCGGCCAAAAACGCCTTACTATACATGGTCGTTTTTTGAGGGGATAAAAACGCCTTAAAATACGTGGTCTGGTTTTTTTTCGGCTAAAACGCCTTCCTATCCATGGTCATTTTTTTCGTCCCAAAACACCGTACCATACATGGTCGTTTTTTTCGGACCAAAAAAGCCTTACCATACATGGTCGTTTTTTTTTTCGGCCTAAAACGCCTTACTATATATACATGGTCGTTTTTTGGGGGCTAAAAACACCTTCCTCTACATGGTCATTTTTTTCGGCTAAAAACGCCTTACTCTACATGGGCGTTTTTGTTTGGCCGCCTTACTCTACATGGGCGTTTTTGTTTGGCTCAAAACGCCTTACTATTCATGGTCATTTTTTCGCCTAAAAATGCCCTACTTTACATCATCATTTTTTGGTTTTTGTGAAAAATGCCTTCCTATACTTACAAAAATACCTTACAAAAAAGCCTTACTTTCCACGCGCTCAAATGGTCTTAAACGGTCTTATATAGGCACAATGTAAGGTGTTTATGACCTGCCTGGTAGTCAAATGGTTAGTACGTCGGCGTTGCACTGTGGAGGTGCAGGGTCTGAATCCAGCTCCGTCCTTAGTCTGTGTTCACAAAAATGTGTTTCGCCATGCATTTTCTGATCCTCTTTTCCGCACATTTGGGCTCACACACACACCTACGGACAATGTGAAGTGTTTGTTCAATACCTGACTGGTTGTCGAATAGTTAGTGCGTCGACGTTGCATTGCGGAGGTGCATGGTTCGATTACCTCGCCAGCCTTCCTGTATGTTCTCAAAAACATGCATGTCTTTGCATTTTCTGATCCTCTTCCCCGCGCAACTATTCGTGCTCACTCACACCAAGGAACAAGAAAGAGCATTCATTCCCTGCCTGGTTGTCGAATGGTTAGTGCGTCGGGTTGCGGAGGTGCAGGGTTCAATTCCGGCTACGGCTGTTCAGTGTGAGGTTGCACGTTCTCCTCGTGCCTGCGCAGGTTTCCAAAAACGTGTGGCCATCCATTTTCTCACACTGACACCAAGGGACAATGACAGGGTTCCCACTCTACCACTTGCTTTTTATTTATGGACCTTTTAAGGACTTTTGAGGGCTAATTTAGCTATTTTTCAGGACCTTTTCTCCATTCAGTTGGGGATTCACGGTGGATTTAATGAACAGAAAGCCACATATCACTGAGCTGGTGTTCAAATCATTGCTGCCAAAGGAAGGGCACATCTTTATTTTTAGGGGCAATAAGCTAACCCTTTATTTGACAAACTGTATTTCAAATTAACCCAAAATGACCCGAAATGATCACGTGATCATCATTGGTACTGATCGGAGATGGCAGGAAAAGCAGAGCGGTAACCACGAAGGCATGTAGTCCGACAGTGAGGTTTGAGGGGAAGGGCGCCAGGCGCATTTTCCGACAAAACTAATAATTGGAAAGGTGGGGAAAATGACAAACACAAATGAAATGAATACCACAGGTTAATTTTTAAGGATTTTTTATTGATTTTAGAAGCTTTCCCTGAAAATTAAGGACAATTAAGAACTTAATTTTACAACTTTTTAAATGGATTTTTATGAACTTTAAGGAATTAAGGACCCGTGGGAACCCTGAAAAAATGTTATGATACGCTGTATAATTTGAGACACGACATTGGTGGTATTAAGACATGAATTAAATTGAGTACAGTATATGGATCAGCCCATGTTTATGTTGTGGTAACCAAACTCCCAGACATTTAAATTGTAGCAGCAAAATAGTTACAATGAATTTGTCCTTATGACCATTAAAATACGGACATGATTACTCAAAGCCTTTTTATTTCTCGCTCATAATCAATCTTGAACAGAACTGCAACTGATTTTCACTGAAGTTACGTTTTATGTGGGCAACAATGAATACTGGGCAGGAGACAAATGACACGAACATGGAAGTCAACGTGGACCACGTACAAAGCGGTGCTTTCAAATTACATTCCATTTGTTTAAATTAACATTTTTTTAGATTGGTCTAAAAGGGCGTTTCGTGTGTGTTTCAAGAGTACCAATACATTCGAATTGAACACATGCAAGACAAAATAAAACGTCAATGTACAACTATATAGACAACATAAATGGATGAGATTTTCACGTCGGACAGTGATATAGCTCAAAGCGCCCCCTACAAAATATTTGTGGCTCTTGACAAGTAGTGTTGTGTTCAGTGTGTAATTCTTTGATACACATGGACTGCGCGAGCTTCAAAAATCCAGAAAGTCTAAATCTGCCCACAGTCAGCAATAAGAAGCTTCTTGGAGGGGACGCCTCCCTTTGTGCCGAGCTCCCCCATGCGTTGCACCACTTCCACGCCCTGTCGAACCCAGCCAAAAGCCACATGCTTGAAGTCCAGGTGTTCGGCCTTTTTCAGTGTGATGAAGAACTGGGAATTGTTGGTATCGCGACCGCGGTTGGCCATGGACAGGATGCCTGGACCCGTGTGACGGACGTCGAAGTTCTCATCCTCGAATTTTGCGCCATAGATGGATTTTCCGCCTGTGCCGTCGCTGTTGGTGATGTCGCCGCCCTATGGGAGCCGGGAAAAACATTGGTCAATGGCATGACCACCCAAGACAGATGAAATAACTGAATAACTGTTTAGTGTTTAATTATCTCGGTTATGAATGACACTTGGAAGCTTTACTGAACTTAAAAAGTTTAAGAAGCGCTACCCCAAAATGATTGACAATAACCACTGACATCACCATCATTGTAGTTCTCTTCACCTGACACATGAAGTCCGGGATGACCCTGTGGAAGATGGAGCCCCTCAGCCCAAAGCCTTTCTCTCCTGTACACAGCGCCCTGAAGTTTTCCGCCGTCTTGGGAACAAGGTGAGCGAATAGCTCGACGGTGATAGTGCCAATCGGTTGGCCGTCTGCCTCTACTGCAAGGAACACCTGCGGGTTTGAGTCTCTGGAGTGCTCCTGAATTCTGGACATCGGCATGGGACTGTGTGAAGCATCAATTTGGCTGATGTTGCTTTGACATTCGCAGAAAGTCTTCTTGAAGGATGAGGCTATCTCCGGGGTTTTGAACTTGGCTGACAGCTGCTCAACGGCACCCTCGGCGCTGTCTGGAAATACAAGACGAGGAAGAGCCGAGCCTCAATTAAAAAGCACCCCATTCCTTCACACCTCGTTGCTATACGGCCGTTGTCGTGCCCATTGTTCTTTCAATTGGGCATATCAATAAGTCACACAACCCTATGTCCGTGTGTACCCGAGTAGTCTGTCGCAGTCCATATGAGAGCGTTGGCCGAGGTGCTCATGGGCTGCAGCTCCATTGTCTGGGATATGTTGTGGTTAGCGCAAACCCGGAACACCTGCTCCCTCCTCATGAGGATCCGGTAGAAACGCTTGGCCGGGTGGTAGAGGATCTTGATGTCACCGACGCCGCGCTCCTTCCACTGGCCCAGGTCGCGGTCCCATCGGTATAACTTTGCACGCTCCTTGAACAGGATCTCCTCGTCCTCCTCTCCAGACTTGGTTTCCACCTGACGGGATGAAGTGAGGAAATCAGTTTATTTAATAATGCAAAAACCTGCGCATGTGGCAAAGACTCAATGCAACGTCTGTGAACAACCCATGCTAAACATAGTTCCTTCCTCCCTGACATTAGCAAATGTAACTTCAATATATCCTTCAATCAATTAATTTCTTTGTACCTTCAATCAATGACTACTTTTCCATTTGGCCAGGCTTTAGCTTCATCTAAAATGATCCAGATTGTTTGCATGCCTCCGGGAGATGAAATTACCTCTGGTAGTGAAACGATCGGTTCAAAGTGTATGTCAACATTTTTCGGAGAGTCCTCTTCGTCACTTGCACCCTCATCATTGTTCTTGTTGGATGACGTAGGAACCAAAGAACCAAATACAGCCGCGCCTGCGTTTGCCCAAGAGAAGTTGGAATCTACACACACGCACGCACGCACGCACGCGACAAAAACAATACATTAAAGTAGATGACGTAGATGTGTAGATGACGTAGACGAATATAAATTACACAGCCAAACTCACCTTTTGTTCCAAATGCAAAGCCTTCTGTATTTTGTGCCAGATCAGCAAAAGAGAAGCCTTCAATTGCCGTGAAGCCAAAGCTGGGTGTCCCTGAAAAGGAAGAAAATTCTCATTCATTGCCGCTTCTCAGTTGCTTTCTTTTTCAAAGGGGATGGGTGGGTGAGCATCTGATGCTGCATTATACACATCACAAAAGGTTTGGCATATTTGTCTTTTCAGGACAAGCCTAAAATGTGAAACTTTGGACCCCAGACCTCGATGACCCGAGGGCTGCCCTTCAAGCACAGTGGAATGCCATGCCTCAAACGACAATAAATCAACCCGTGAACAGCTCGAGACGTCGCCGTCAAGCTGTAACTGATGCTCAAATTAACTAAGTTACTGAGACGGTGACATTTTTTTGTTGCGGCATGCCGACCATTGTTAGCTTTTGTTTCAAAGAATTGAGATGAGGAAATCACCGGTGCATCCTTCTACTTAAATGTCCAACTTTGATGACAAATTGCTGTAGTGTGAACTTTTTACATTTTCCATAACTTTTACCTGAAAGCCAAATATCCCTGACTTTTTATGAGTAGTGTATATATATTATACATAAAATTATCTCACTGTCTTCAATTATATAAAAAAAAATTTTTCAAGATCACAGACAACCAGAGGCCTATGCGGGGTACACCTAGGAGCCATACAACCATTCAAACTAATGTCACAGACAGAGATACAGACACCCACACGCATGAATCTGGCACATTATCTAATACAGTGGTACCTCTACTTACGAAATTAATTGGTTCTGGAAGAAATTTCTTAAGTAGAATATTTTGTAAGTAGAGACACGTTTTCCAAGGAAATGACCTAATTACTTCCAGTTCATATGTGCCCCCACCGAACCTTTAGTGAAAAATAAAAATATGATCCCAGAAGTGTTTCTTTAGTTTTGCCGGTGCCAGATGAGTTGCTCAACTTGGCATGACAAATCACGCAAATGTGAATCCATGTTGTACATATTCGTCTGACCACTTTCTTTTTTTACTCGACACAGCATGTGTTTAAAACTTTTTTTTTTAACCTCCTGACTACCAGTAGTTCAAATTTGTCCTCTGTAGAGGACATTTGTAAACCTAAATATCTCCCACCTAGTGCATCCAATCGCATTAACTCCTTTTGTTACTCTAAAGAGGACATTCAGTGCTTTCCAATGATACCAAATTTGTAGGGGTTAGAAAAAGTAAGAAAATGGCTTCCCTCAGTGCAAGCACTTTTTATGGGAAGAGGAAAAGTAATACTTTTTATCAAACACATTTTGTCTTGAAATGCTGTTGGCATTTTATTTATAAGACTCTTATGAACACGTTAAAGTGTTGTTTGAGTTGTTTTAAGTGCATTTGAGCCTAGTATTCAAGTGTTTAAAAAATGTAGTGAAATTTCAAAAATTTCTTTTGGAGTAGACCAATTACTTCACATAGATTGGGGAATTTCAAAATAAATGTGATTGGACAACATTTTTTTTCCTGGTAGTCAGGAGTTAATCACACGACGTACTATCACGACACTCACACGCTGACTACTGAGGGAACTAAATTTCCCGCAGCACTGATTGGACAAGCAATGCAATGTGATCATCCGCAGCCAGTGATGGCCAAGTGGGTGTGTCATAACTGACATGTTGAGTTGGCTGTGTCTTAGCCTCCATGGCAGAGGCTCCGTCGAACCCCCGAGACCGATTCACCGAACCCCCTGGTGTTCGATCGAACCCAGGTTAAGAACCACTGATCTACACACATAGACTCATATGGTAGAGGTCCCTCTTAGCCAATGGGATGCCAAGATGGTGCTCAGTAATAGCCAATGGCAGAGCAGCTATAAGTATGTTGCGGTCAGGAAACTCAGAGCAGCGGGTAGCAGGCCAGACTGTATTTTTACCTTTCCTATCTCGAAATTTCTTTCGTAACAAGAGGCAATATTTTCCTGTTGAGACATTTCGTAACTTGAAAATTTCATATGAAGAGACGTTCGTGAGTAGAGGTTCCACTGTACAAGTACGAACCTGTACTTGTAACAGCAGGAGGAACTGCAGAGGGGGCAGTAGTGGTCTCTGGTTCTGGCTTAGTTGACAGGTCGATCGGGGAGCTGGTGTTGTTGCTGCTTGGAGCTTGTGTCTGCACATTTGCTGGTTGCTCTGACGCGTCTTCCTCTGTGCTAGACTTGCAGCTTGGGGCCGGCTCCGTTGTCTGATCTTCAGCAGGGCCACTGGACACCTTTTCAGCCGTCTTTAACTGGGCGTCCTACAGTATGTATGAATGGAAGTCATGTCATACAGTTATCACAAGACCACAAGAAAGGTGCAATAAAAATCAACAATAAAAAAAATACCTGTCGACTAATACATTATCATAGATGTTTGACATTGTAGGAAAAACTGTGTGCAATAAATGTGAAACAAAGTAGTAAATTCAGTAGTTAGTGATTATGCCTTCGATGTACTCTTATGCGGGCGGCTACGCAAACTAGTTCATTACGTGCAGTTTGTAACCTCGAAACCTTGGATGTCAGTGCTGTCCTAAACAGACAACCTTTGTAAAGTTGAATTAACTAACTTAATTTGTGTATAATATAGTCACATTCAAATTATTTTGCAAGGTGGTTCAATCCAGTTTAAGCTCTGCATATTCGGTTTTCTCTTCACAAATTCAACAGTTTTTTCCTTCTATCTTCAGCTATCTGCTACAAAACTCATCTATTCCAGAATCTGCATATTTTAGACTTTTCTCTGAAACGTAGCTTAAAAGCCATGGCTAATAGTAATTGGTACTGAGGAATTTTGTGGAAGTGACATCACCACACACTAACGCCTTCTTTCAACACTTTCAGCCTTTTCCTACCAGTGCCTCTTGGGCCTTTTGGACTTCAGTCTCAAAGTCCTCTGTCTTGTCGGGATCCAGGTCGCTGTCAGTAGTGCTCAGGCCACAAAAGAAGGTGGGTGGAAGCTGAAGGCTCTTGGCTTTCTCCTCCTCCTCGGGCGTTGGCTTTTTCTCCCAAACAACCTGGCAGTCAGGTTCTGAATGGATCGAAGGCAAAACGTCAGGGAATTGATGAGTAATAAAATGAGTGACTCTGAATTCCCATACCTGGCCTAGATGCAGTGTCTTCTCTTTCAGGAGGATCAGGGTAAAGTCTTCCATTCAGGGATTTCACTGCCGACTCGTAGTCCTCATCTACACAAAAAATGTCAAGATAAAAAGTAAATAGCCTATCACAATACAACAAGCAGCAAGCTACTCTCCTTCAATCCTTTTAAGTCGATCACACAGGTTCCTGGTGAATATCCCCTCACTTGTTCCAAAATGTCAAAGTTTGAAAAGCTTAACTTCATTATTTTACTACTATTATTTTAAATGTTGTCATTCCAATGTTCAAATGCTGTTAAATTGAATACACACTACCTACAAAAAGTTAAGGGATATTTGGCTTTCAGGGGAAATTTATGGAAATTGTAAAAAGTTCAGATGTGTATTTTGATACTGAACTGAAAGAAAATATTTTTTTCAATTTATACACACAGTATTTAAAAAAAAACTGACATTTTAAAATTTATTCAAATTTCTTTCCCCCTGATTTTAAGAGCTTTTTTCAACTACGGCACTGTTGTTCTCATTGATGCCAATCAAAAATGAGACACACTGACCCTGTTTACATTTTGTCTGTGTTCAACTCATGCATGCCGATTAGCAATTCAGGCATCATTGTTCAAATCGCGCTGTCCAAACTGAAAGTGCAGCCTCACCATCAGGTTGATCGTCACTGGCGTAGCCTGGTTCATTCTGGTAGCAGAAAAAGGTGAGCGGCAGCAGTAATTTCTTGGCTAGAGCAGCTTGTTCAGCGGTGGGTTCCCTGACATACACAATCTCCACCTCTGAGTCCTCATCTGACCCAGCATTGCTGACTCCTGTAACAAATAAACGAACATCGACATTAGTGACTGAGCTCGAAAGGAAACATCAGTTTCGATTACCCTCGAGGCGTTAGTTTTGCACACAAAAATATTATGCACAGCAAAAACTAACATGCATCCACATTGCTGAGACGGGTTATACATTTACAGCGACAACAGTTACTGTATGCATGCCAAGGTGGTTCTAATCACATGACAGGCAAGACTCACTGCCACATTGAGCAATAGCTGGAACTATAATTAAATTATATTAAAGCATTTGCAGCCATGTTCATTGCGGAGGCCACAATAGAATGGGAGCTCCATTTCACGCTGTTGCCACCTGCACGAAATGTGGAGTGTGAGATGTTTACAGAGCATGCAATTCCCCTGAGCAAAGCGACAACCAGTTCCCCATTTTGGCGGCAATGGCTTTAAGTGAAAAGTTCCCTTTTGGTGCTATTGCTGATTGATAAATATTTTAGACTGGCCTCAAATGCTGGCACTGTTTCAGCTTTGGGTCACTGTTTTAGTAGTTAAAAAACAAATCACAGTTTTAGTAGTTAAAAAAAAAAAAAAAAAAAAAAAAGCCCTGGAGCCCTGAAATTCTTGACCCCACCATCTCAGAATTGTCTGAAACTTGGCAGATTTGTTCATTATGATCTTTGACACCCCCCCAAAAAAAACATTGTTGCCAACCTCTACATCCGGGAATTCTACCCCCAACATGTCTGCAAAAACATTTCAACGTTTCACATGGTTCATATATTTTGTTTGCCAGCAAGGCATAACCATGTCATTCTTTGTGTAGCACATTTTTGTGTACATTTCTAGTGTACAGAGCCTACTTGGCAACCATATCATCTTTAATCATGTATTCTATTTAATGCATTTTGTACTGCCATCAATTACTTGTCCATCACAACACGCACAGCCTAGTAAAACCATCCATCCACTATCCAAGCAGCTTATCCTCAGAAGGGTTGCTGGTGTACTAGAGCCTCTCCCAGCTGTGCTTGAGCAGGAGGTGGGGTACACCCCGAACTGGTTGGCAGCCAATCGCGGGGCACACATTGTCAAACAATCATTCACACTCCCGGTTACACCTTGGGACAATTTAAGAGTGTTCAATTAACCCACCATGCATGTCTTTGTAATGTGGGAGGAAACTAGAGGACCCGCAGAAAAGCCACACAGGCACAGGGTGAACATAAACTCCTCATACAAACACTACATGAGCAATGATGTAAGTTTGCCTTTTTTTAAACACCAATTTGTTGGGGGGGGGGATATTATCCATGTAAGTTTTTGATGATATCTGGAAATTTCAGTGGGTCATATCTCCCAGAACAATAATAACATAATGAACAAACAGACCATGTTTCTCCCAGTTCTGCGATAGTCGGGTTAATGCCATGGGGTGAATTAATTCGGAATATATGACCATACATTCTAAAAATACAATTGAATTACTCTGTTCTTCATAAGCATAAAATAGAACTGCATGTTAAAACGTTTCAAAATCTCAAGGAACCAAACTTGAGATACATAAAGCCTTCGTCAAAAATGTCTTTCCAATATTATGTTCTATTCGGCCCCACTTTTCTAAACATGGTATTCCGAGCAGTCTCATCTTAGTTTATTTAAATTAAGCAAAAATATTTTGTGCGCAACATCAACCAGATGGAGTATTTTACACAACTGGGGCGTACAGAACATAATTCAAAGAAAATGTTTGACTTGACTTCCGCTTGAAAGGACTGGAAGTATAACACTTCTAAATAGACATGCAGATATATCATTCATGTTTTACTGTTTTCCACTCGTGCATCCGGGTTATTCCTTTCTAAGTGCATCTACCACCAAGGTAACAGCTGAGAAGTGTTAAGAGACACTCATTAGAGTACCTGGACTTTCAAACCGAGTGCTCGATGGGCTTGTCCAAAAGGCCATTGGATTATCTTTGAAAAGCCTAAAATCCAGTCCTAAAGGATGATGGATTGTTGGGTTAACAGGAACTAAATGGCCATCCACACTATAAAGGCCGGAATTGTACAAGAATAATGTTACTTGTTTTCATTTGCTCATGGTAGCAATGTATTCTATGGGTATTTTCTACCCAAGAAAGTATTTGATCAATTAAGACTTGTTTTTTTTTTTGGGGGGGGGGGTGAATGTGAGGGAACTCAATTTGTCTGATCAGAACATTTGATAAACATTGTGTAAATTTTGCTTACCTTTTTGTGGAATTTTGAAGGCAGGTGGTACAGATGATCCCCTGTTGGGATGTGGAGAATCTTTCACTTTCAAACTGGCTTCGCAGTCGCCACTATCAGAGTTTGATTTTGGACTGCCAAATATCTTCTGAAGACTGTCTGAGCCAAACACAAACTTAGGGGGTGACATCACTGACTTGGTGGGGTTGACTGGAGTTTGAGAACCGGATGTTTTCTTATCAATGAAGAGTTCAGTGCGTTCCTTTGTGGTGTCTTCCAAAATAGAAATTGCTGCCTTCCCACACACAGTTTTTGAAGAGTCTCCACTGTCCTGAGAAACGATGGATGCCACGGGGGTCATAAGTTCCAGTTTCTCCTGAGCAATCTTGGCTTCATCAAAAACCTGCTTAAACATGTTTGCCGTTTCTTGCAATTTGAATCTCACAGCCAACTGCTCCACTTTACCCTCTCCTTCTTCAGCAAAGTCCAGTGCACTCCACACCCACGCCTTCTCCGCACCCTTCATAGGTTCTAGCTTCATGGCTGCCGTGATCCACTGGTTAGCACAGATCTTAAGTACCTGGTCTCGCCTCATAATCAGCCTTACCCGTTTTGTGTTATAATTTTGTAAGATTTTGAGATCTCCGATACCTCTCTCCTTCCATTGACTCGCTTCTTTATCGTATCGGTAAAGTTTGGCTCTGTGACTAAAGACGACCTGTTCATCTTCTTCACCTGTGGAAATTTCAACTAGGTCAGGCAAGGGAACCACAGGTTCAAAGTACAGACCATCTCGCTCCTCATCCTGGGGAACATCTTGCTCATCATCTGTTCCCACGGAAGATCGGCTCTGGTTAAGTTTAGCAGGAGACTTGGAAGGGCTTATGCCAGGTTGGAAGCTAAAGCTGAAACCACCCATGGACTCCCCAAAACGGAAAAGGTTCTTTCTTAGTGGGCTGCTGGCGAGTGGAGAGGCATAGACCGACGAATCGGCAGTGTCATCCAAAGCCTCTTCTCTTAGGTCATAGTTATCCCACTCTAAAGTAGGGCCAGTGGTTTCACCGTGAGGCTTGATTAGAAGACTTGACATTGACTTGACGTTCGTGGATGGAAGCTGGCCGTCATCATCGTTGATCTTTGTTTTGTCGTCTGTCAAAAAAGATTTCAGGTCTTTCAAGCCAGACTTCATTTCTTCCGCTTTCTGAATCAGATGTGCAGTTCTGCCTGTGTCAACCAGTTTGTGTGGGGTTTGCAAGGGGATGTCCAACAGGAGTCGCTGACATTCCTCAAACTTCGCCTTGAATTCCTCGGCGAGTTCTGGACTTTTAAACTTGGCAGCCAGTTGTTCAGGCTTGGCATCACCATCCGAGAAATCATTGGCCATCCAGATCCACGCTTTATCTGAGCCTGCTAGAGGCTTAAGATTCATAGTGGTAGTGATCCAGTGGTTGGCGCACACTTTCAGAACTTGCTCTCTTCTCATCAAAACCCTAAGTCTGCCATTGGAGCTGTTTTTCAAAAATTTTAAGATTCCCACCCCGCGTTCTTTCCACTGACTGGTATTTGCATCAAACCGGAAGAGTTTGACACGCTGGGAATAAAGAACCTGCTCATCCTCCTCCCCTGTGACAAGCTCAACTTTCTCGGGCATTTGAACCACTGGTTCAAACTGGATATCGTCGTTTTCTTCAGTTTTATACATGTCATCTTCCCCCTGTTCATTTGTGGTGTTTATCTTGGTGGGTGTTGATGAGAACAATTGTTCACCAGCACCAAAGAAACCTTTGAAACTGGGGTCCTTTTGGCCAAACTGGAAGTCTCCTCCGGATGACTTTGCCAGGTCTGCAAAACTAAAAGCATTAGTTTTACCTGATATTAATGGATTTGTCTCAAACTCTTGACTGACCTCCGGTGGAGTAAAATCATTTTCTTTCACCTTGTGTTTATCAGCTATACTTTTAAGAAAGCTGGAGGCTGAACCTGAACCCATCTGATCACATGGGGTGGACTTTTCGGTTTCATCTTTTTCAGTACCTGGAATTCCAAATGTAAAGCCACCTCCAGGCATGGGCATTGAGAAAGAGAACCCGGAAGAACTTGTGGTCTTAGGAGCAGACTGGGAAGCTTCAAAATTGAAAGCAGCAGCAGTTGAGGTTTCAACTTTGTTTTGCCCAAACTGAAATGAACTGGCAGCTCCAGAAGGTGCAGTGAAGCTCGTTCTGGTCGTCTGGGGTGATGATGTTTTGATTCCGAAGTTGAAGGTAAAGGGGGAAGCTGAAGCTGATGTAGTGGTACCACTTGTACTTTTCGCATTGGGATTTGGTGTCGAACAGGCAACACATTTACTGCTAGTGGATTCATTTCTCACTAAACAGGTGTCACAGTCCCACTGACAGTCCTTCTTAGAAAATATGGCTTGTAAAGTTGATGTGCTCCTTTGCTTGTCATCCTTTGTCAAATCAGCTCCAAAACCTGAAAATGGTGCAGTCGATAGATTTGCAACCATGGGAGCAGACTCTTTTGAATCATTGCTGTGCTTGGGATTTGAACAGCTTACACAATTCTCTGCATCCTTTTTATTTTTTACCCAACACGCAGCACACTCCCACTGACCTGGTTCCTTTGTAAATTGGGTGCCAAACCCAGAACTCCCAATGGACTCGGAGTTTGTGCTTGCAGACGCACTTTGTTTCTCGATTGTGTCGGCAGGTTTACTTGAATTTATGCCAAATGTAAAAGACGAGGCGGATGAAGTTCCGGAAGTGCTAAATCCAGGAAAGGTGGGGCCAGAACTGTTTTTTAATTCACTTGTCCCAAACTTGAAAGTATCACTTGTCCCAAACTTGAAAGTAAAGGGAGCGCCTTTTGTTTTATCTTCAGTCTCCTTGTCTGGTGTTGCGGTGGACTTGGGGTTGGCACTTTGACAAGAAACGCACCGCACACTCTCGGGTTTATTTCTCACAAAGCATTCAGTGCAATCCCATTGGCCTTCTTTTATTGCAAACTTTGCTGTCAAGGATTCCGAAGGGCTAGGAGTTTTTACATCGTCTTCTTTCTTCTCTTGTTGTTCCTCAGTTGATTTCACTACGATGCTCTGTGCTTCGACCATGCTCTGGGCTTCTTCAAACCTACTCTTAAACAGCAATGCCTCATCTATTGTTTTGAAGCGGATGGCTAATTGTTCAGACTTGGGCTGTTCATCTGCATAATCAATGGCATTCCAGACCCATGATTTATCTGAACCACTATTAGGTTTCAGTTTCATGTCAGTGGTTATGTAGTGATTAGCACATACCTTCAAGACTTGCTCCCGTCTCATTAATAGTCGAATCTTCGCCGTAGTGATATGTTTCAATATTTTAACATTGCCAATGCCTCGTTCCTTCCACTCTTTTGTCTCCATGTCAAATCTAAACAGCTTTGCTCGATTGCAAAACAACTCCTCCTCGTCTTCCTCACCTGTTCTCACATCAACCTTATCAGGAAGTGGTACAATGGGTTCAAAGTGAGGACCGTCATCATCATCGTCATCCTCCTCCTCCTCTTCAGCATGAGTGCTATCATTGTCACTATCGGCTGCATTTTCATCTTCAGGTACAGACTTAGCATTACCAAAGACTGGCTGCGTAACTTCCCCAAATTTAAATGGCTGATCTACTTTACCAAACAGACACAGGGGGCCTGTGCTTTGTGCTGTATTAGCAAACGAGAACCCGGAAGAATTTTTATTGCTAAAGGTGAAAATGCTCGCTTGGCCCGATGTCTGCTCTTGAGCAGGAGCCTTCTCTGGCAAAGCATCTGTCTTACTGGGGATGTCAGATGTAAGAAGACCGAGCAAACTTTCACTGTGCTTTGCTTTGGTTGCTGAGAAAGTGAAATCGCCATCATTGGATTTAAAGTTAGAGTTGAATTTAAAGGCAGGTGATGGTGTTGACTGCGAAATTACGCTTGTTCCAAAACTCGGGACTTTGGGTACTTCAGCAGGTGCCTCCTGACTAAAGGAAATCTTCCCGAAATCAATAGATTTCCCCTCAATGTTCTTTGGTGGCTGAGAAGGAATGACAGGCGGTTTAGTGAAATAACCAGGTTCGGGTAAAGGAGGGTTGGTGGTTTGGTGAGTTGCACTCTGTCCATAATAATCTTCGCTATACGGTGATAGGAGGCTGGTTGCCGGCGATTCAAACCGCAGCGGGGGAGCGAAGGTCTGTTCTTGAGGAGGGTATACGCAAGCAGGGGCGGTTTGCATTGGAGGGGTATGGGTCGGCGGCTGATAGGCAAACATATGCTGCTGAGGTGGCATACGGTTCATACCATACATTGGGCCCTGTATAAAATGAGGGAAAATAATTTTCAGCATGATGAGATTTTCCATGCTAACAAGGGACACAATGCTTAGTTTACCTTTGTGGGGGTTACATTTGTAGCTGTGCGCAGGAGATATTGAGAGTTATATGCTGGAGACTGATTGTAGTACGCTGGGGGACCTGTAGTGGAAACTTGACCACCAATGCACAAAGATGAAGAATGTATCATCAATCAACTAGCTCCCTGTTGTTGTTATCAATAACCAATCATAAATACCATTAAAAAAAAGTTTTTTGTGTTCTAAATAGTACACTGACCTGTCAAGGGGGCCCCATGGTAGGACTGCACAGGAGTGAAAGACTCTTGCAGGCCTTCAGCGCCATAGCTCTCAGCATACATTTTGTGATGAGGAGAGCTCATGTTTGCTGAAGAGTTGTGTCTCAGGTCATGGACCTCGTTCTGAAACAAATAAAGGCCTTGTGACTTAATTTGATACATCTCAGGCTCCACTCCCCTTACATTACTTCTTTGAATACTGTGCAACAAAAGAATTATTAGGCCCTTGACTAGCCATCTTCCTAGGGTTATAATACATAAGAAGCAAGAGCAGGCCTATGCTTGGGAAATACATGAGGATGAATAATGAAAAAGTAAATAATGTAAATTAAATTCATTAGTGCGGCAAACGTTATGATTCATAGACTGACCTTAAGGGCTTCAACTTGCTGACACAACATTTGAAGGAGACTTTTCTGGTCCTCCACCCAGTGAGGTGGTGTCTTTGGAGAAATCTGGAAGAGAAAGTGAATTGTAGGACAATATTTAATCACAAAGCAATTTCAGATGGTGAGCCAGTCATAAGTTAGTAAGTAACCGGTGCCCACCAGGTGTCGTTTGGAAGGAGAAACAAGGGTTTTGCTAGGTGAGGGACTGGAAAACTTCATGTGAGATATGGTGGCACTTGAATGGGCTGGTCCCCGAAAACCATTATTCTTCTCTTCTTCGTCATCCTCTCCACTCTCGCCAAGTTGCTGGTTCACATCATTTAGAAGGTCCACAATTTCCTCCATGGACACTGGAAGCTGGAATACAATACACAAGCAGGGGTTTTAAAGGTTTGGAGCTTATAAAGTTTCATCCGGCTAAGAAAAAAATAAACCAAAAAAAAAAAAAAAAAAAACATTACTTTTTCAACGTCATCCATATTGGCATTGTAGATCTTTAATAGATAAATCCTGAATTTCTTCAGAAAAGTGATGCACCTGTCCTGTGTCTCCTCAACCCCATTACTGGCCTCCTCAGACAGCCGCTGATAGATCTTTCAAACAAAACACGATAGTCATGTAAACAAGAACAGGCATCCGGAAGACGATTATTCACACATCCAAATTAAATGTGAGGGATTCCTATCAGACAATGTTGATGCTAAATAAATCAGTGGAGTTGAAAGAGCAGACAGAAGACTTCATCATGAAAACAGATAAATACACACACACAAAAAAAAAAAAACAAAAAAAAAAAAACAAAATTGGACTGTCTTATTAGAACTGTAAAAAGGTGTCAGCATAAACTGTATCATTACCATGAGGTCAAGTATGGTTATGAAATGAATGGACATGAAATTGTTTTAATTATCAGAATATATTCTATACAATATTTGGTTATATAAGCCATGAGTAAAGTCAGACCACCAACCTGAGCCAAATGCCAGACAGATGACATGTTATTGATTGATTCCAATGTGGCAATGGCCTCCTCTGTCTTGCCTTCAATGTCAAGCAGAGTTGCATGTGCTATTTTGGCCTCTTCTTCAAAACCCTTCACAGAGGAGACCTGGGCAGGAGATAAGTTGCATGTGTTTGATTATGGTGAAATCTAATGCAAAGGGCTGTTTTGGTTCACTGGGTTTCAGTAACACCAAAATACAAATAAACACAGAGGACAACTAGGAGTACTAACCCGAATATCTTTGGATGCAAAATGTATGTAGAGGGGGTCAAGAGGTTCTGGTATACTTCGTCTGTTTTTGATCTTGTCCAACAGTGGAAGTACAACTTTCCAGTAGTGGACACTGCGGCTGATGTATTCCTTCTGGTCATAGTATGAGTTAACGCCATCACCCTTTCATTTTACAAAAAACCAAAAACAAAAAAAACCCCACTAAAATGAGCAAATGAGCACACCTCGACCAAATGTTCTACAAATACATACATATAATCAAACAGGTACATATACATTTACGTACCGTTTGGCTGAGGCACTGAGCCCAGTATATTGCCAGTGCTGGATGCAGCCCATGTTTCTCTCCGGCTCTCAATGTGTTCAGTCCATGTTGTACTATCATTCGCAATTTCGCTGACATGCCAGGACTTACATAAAAGAAAGGCATGTGTATTAACAAAAACAAAACATTAAATTGCATCGGGTATTTTTGGGAAAGGGGGGCGGGGTTACGTCATCACAGAGATTAACATTGCATTGTTTTAGTTGGCTAAAGCAGTTAAAACAAGCTAGTGTATAAATTGAACAGTATGAAGCAAGTGAGGTAGGGAGAGACTCACGCTGCTCGTTTGTGAATCAGACTATAGATGGCATCCCACCACTCCCTCTGTCTCTCTGTGGTCAGGAGGCGAAGGACAGAAAGAGGGAGGCAGCGAGGCTCGTAGAGCTGTTGTTGCTGCTGGTTTATTCCACGATTTAACTTTGCAGTCTCTTGTAGCTGACAATGGCTGCAGAACACCACACCATGTAGAAATACCTGCAAGACAAGAAACAGAATTAACCACTGACTTTGTTAAAGATGTTACTATGACATAGAATGGTGCAATTGAGTGTCAAACGTGCGTTTGGTTTATAGACTCGAGATGTGAAATAAGCAGGGACCGCTTCCACTGACCTCTAAATCCAGAAGGCAGATGGACTCTGGTGCATTTGTGTCCAGTTTGGAAGTTTCTAGGTTAAGTCTGGGGAAGAGTTGCTGTAGCCAGGTCCTCAAGGATGGTCTTTGGCCTAAAAGGGCCCACTGCAACCCTAACCAGCTCAAATGTTGCAAGTCTCCGCAATATAAAAGGATAGAACCTACAGAGGAAGCATACAATTTATTGCACTTGATTTTGTATTGGATTTTTAATCAAAGGAATTTGTTTTGCTGATAAATTCTGCTAGTGTAATTGAGCTGCTATGAAGGTCTTTGCACACTAACTGAGGGTTTAACTTTTGAGAAATACCTCACCCATGATTCCCCAATAGAAAACATGATAGAAATGCAATTATTTCAAGATTACAGTTATTATATCGATACTAGTGATGGGAAAATGAAGCTTCATAAACCAAGTTGTTGTATTTTGACTCCTGTTGATCGCACTGTTGGGTTTAAAGCAGGGGTCCCCAACCGCCGGTCCGCAGGGCATTTGGTACCGGGCCGCACAGAAAGAACTTGCCTTATTTCCGTTTTATTTATTTCGGAATACGAAAGATGTTTTATTTTGAAAAATTACCGGATTCTCTGTTACATCCGTCTGTCTCACGCTTGACTTACGTCAAGTCACACTTCTCGGTCATGTGACCGATGACGCTCAAAAACAAAACGCTGAAGCCCGCAAAATGAGTAAAAAAGCTGCTTGGAGATCGCAAATGACGGCGGCCTTAAAAGTACGTTCGAAACAACTGGATCAAAGTTATGGCTGAATACTCTGAGATCGCCACAATAGCACTGTTGCTATTTCCGACATCCTACCTGTGTGAGGTGGGGAGTTTCTGCAGCAACGGCGACTAAAACAAAATTACGAAGTAGACTGGACATAAACCACACACTTGAGGTGTCATTGTCTCCTATTACCCCGAGATGGGACTGTCTGGTTGCAGAAAATCAAGCTCGGTGCTGTGGTGAGTCGTCATTTTCATGCACTTTGAATTTGTGTTGTATCGTATTTTGAAGGCATTAAACATTACCAGAGCGGTAAGAGTGTTGCGACCAGATTAGACGCTCCTTGTGTTTATTATATTTCGAAAACACCACAGTTTTCATGCAGCTCATACCATATTATTTTGTTGTATTAATCCGCCACACCTTAAATGCTGGCCCCTGAAAATATTGTCTGACTTAAACCGGTCCGTGGGGCAAAAAAGGTTGGTGACCCCTGGTTTAAAGAAAGGGGTGAAGGAAATGGGTAGTCTGTGTGCTTTCAGCCTTACTTGAACAGAGTGCGCCATCGAGGAGTCAAAAAAATACAACTGGCTCATAAAGCATCTTGAAGCCTCATTTTCCCCATCACTAATCGATACCGTTCACAAAACTAAATGTTGCAGTTCATATTTGCCATCGGTCTCGGTAGTTCTGCACCTGCATCCCACTTGGCTAGCTGAGAAATTTCTGGAGCTTGTGCTCGAATGGACCGGATGTCATCATTGGCAATGAAAGAAGAGCCAGTAGAGGCCTGCGGTCCAAACAATAGTTCAACAAGAGAGTCTTGACCGCTACGGTTGCCAAATGCCTCCACCACCTACACACACACACACACACACACACACACACACACACACACACACACACACACACACACAAAATCAACAAACAAGGCAGTCACGGGGTATGATAAACATCAGCAGCACAAACCTTGTACAGTACACTGACACTGGGTACACACATATCAAAAAAAATCATGCATACCTCTCTGATCAAGCTGCACGGATCAGTGCTAAGATTGAGTAGCATATGGCCAGCTTGACTCTGTCTGTCGTTAGCCAGCAGCTCGAGAAGATGCGGGGTAGATTGATCCCTTTTGGTCATCTTTGGCCTGGGAACCTTGTGGGTAGACCAAAAAAAAAAAAAAAAAAAAAAAAAAAAACTAAATCCAACTGTGCCACCATATCTCTTACATATCTAGCAAGAATAAAGTAAAATGAAGTCGGAAGCATGCTCTCTACGAGATTTTCAAGGGACTTTTTTTCAGTTTGATTTTGAAACGCCCTACTGTATTTTAGTACACCTTGGGTCTTGCCAAATATGAGGTGTTAATTTTTCAGATAGTGATTGCTTAATCCCACAGTTTGAGTCTCAACCAGCAATATACATGTGTTTTTCAATAGTAGTACCCAACAGTTTTTATAATTCCACATGTACGACAAAGAATAGACACGCGTGCAGTTTTCGTTCCGAAAATGCGAAGCGGGTCAGCAGAACCTCAGTGAATGGGAGCAAGCTGGGTGGAAAGTTGTCCTTTATAAAGCAAATAGTGCTAGTGAGGTTAGATTGCCGTCAACGTGGTATAGGACTTATGCAGATTTCGATATTTATTTCATTCATACCGGAAGACTGAAGCCTTACGTTCATTCCACCTTTTGTGTGCACACTAACAGGCGGACACAGAATTGGGAGCGCTGTCACTGTATGTACAGGTAGGGGGATTAAAACATGGACTCAACATTGTTTGACTGGATGAAGTTTTTACCAGCCCACTGAAATAAACATTTTTGATAGCATAATGGTCGCACTTATGAGCCCTGAACCACTCTCAAAAGAGAGTGAATATAGTACCGTAGTAACAAACTTAGAAACAGTAATACTAACCATTTTGAAATTTGATTGGAATTTATTGGTAAACCGTTTCAGCCCATTGTGACAACTTGGAATATAGATTCAATATTTTTGACAACAGCTTCATGGACATTACTCTGCAATCATTATTTTGTGTGTCACCAGGCACAGGTAACTCCATTCTTTTCATTGTATGTACAACATTCGTATCAAGGGCTCAGTACCTGCAGGGCCAGCAAATAGCAGAGTGCCGCCAGGTCGATGACTGCCCGCCATGTCTGTAGGCGTTCCTGTGCCAGCTTCAAGAGCAGTGTGCCAGCATGCAGGTACAGGTGAGCTCGCATCTCCACAAACATCTCGCAAAGGTCATCCGTGTGCCGGCTTGCCACACTGCTCAGCTTCTGCATAGTGCAGTCAAAACTGTGCATGTAGGAAGATGGCAAAAATGTTAAACTTAGACACAAGGCATTTTCAAAAGGGTTGGAAATTGTGAGCTATTGTTCTCGAATGGCACAGTGAGAATAATCAATTCCTTTAAACCACCTCACACAACATATTCTAGTTGAAACCCATGTCTTGGCAAAACAATTTTCTAGCATTCGCACACAACTTTTATAGGCAACTGCAATTTTACTTCCACCTCACACACTGGCTTACCACTTGAGAGCGTCAAGGCAGGACTGCACAGCGCTTCCAGAGAGTGTGATTCTCACAAGGTTGCAGTGGGCCAAGAGCAGCTCACTCTGAAGACGTCGACACATCTTGTCATTGCTGGATACACTGGGCTGAGTCAGGTAATCCTGAAAATAGTTGGTCCAAATGGATTTTGCTCAATCAGCAACGGGTATTAAAAACACACACGTTTGGGCAGAGTGTTCTGGTTCCCGTTGAGACTTCCAAAATTCAACTCTACACCATCAAACTTTTTTGTGCCGTCTTCCATCATTTCTTCGAAGCGAACATTCATTCTGTTTCTTACTGCAGTAACACAAACATTCACAGAATTGTTGCGCATGGCTGCTACTTCGCTATGTGCATGAAATGAACGTGGTGTGGCTCTCCACCTTATTTCAGCGCAGAGCAGTTCTCATGATCATTGACTATTCACATTGTCTGTCAAAACAGGGACAAAAATCTATATATCCAAGTCTATGGACCACATCTCATTTGTCCACCGAGGAAAAGTTACTTCACGAATACCGTTATTGTATTATCACCAAGCCCTGAAAGACATTCTGCCGGACCGTCAGAGTCGCAGCACAGCAAGGCTGAGTTGCCCAGAGTGCTGCAGCCGAGATAAACTGAAAAATCCCTAAATGTATAAAGCAGTTGAAAAGCTACAGCTTTGACACAAAGTCCCATAGACACACCAAGAACTACATCCCGTTGCAATTTTACAAAATCCTCCATTTGTGGCCATACTGACCTGAAGCGTCTGCACCACCACAGTGTACCAGTCCAGACTGTGGCGCAGCAAGCTCTTCCTCTCAGTTGCCAAGCAGTGCTTAACAGCCTCCTCCAGTCGACCGTCCTGACAAAAGAGCTGGACCAGCTTCACGTTGACATGCGCATCTCCTGGTCGTGCTGCCAGTTCAGCCTGAAGGAGGTCAAACAGTCGGTTCCAGCCCTGCTGACCTTGACGACTCAACAGACGCTCCTTCACAAGTGCAAAGGGAGGGGAAAGCAGTCCATGTGATATACTCTTCCAATGTCACATGACAATAAGTGTACTTTGACTTTGGTGTCATATTTGGTATAAAACATGTATCGCTGCTCTATCTGTTGGGATGTTTTGGGGACACTTCGATATGATTTTAAAGATGTTGCATAACCTTAGTCGCAAAGGTTGGTAAAACCTATTCTCTGAGAAGAAAAAGAGCGTCACCTTCAGGTTAAAGACTGCTGGGTTCCCCGGCAATAACTTGGCAGCCTTGTCCACCCAAAACTCGGCTCTGCTGTGGCTGTCCTCTTTGGTGACCAGCAACTCAGCCACCTTCAGCACCAGGTCTCTCTGGACTGGGTTCAAGTCCACAGAGCGCTGCATACACAGCACAAAGAACGTTTAAGCACTTAGTGACTCGGTAAATGCACGTAGCTGGTGCTAATAAGCATTTGCAAGTCATATTGCCAACATTTACAACTTGGGAAATTTACAAATTATTTTACCGGAACTCCTACTTAAATGATCTATTTGACAAGACAACACATTTTAAAAAAATGGAACACTCTTCAATTAAAGTCAGCCAAAGTTCATATTGGGTAGCAAGCAACCAACATGGCCGTGTTACCTTGTAACATCCTACGGCCTTGTTGACATCTCCCTCTCGTTCATAGAGCTGTCCGAGGAATTTGTGTGCTTTGGGATCCCTCTCTTGGACTTTTAGATACTCTGATACATGTCTAAGAATACAAAAAAAAAAACAAACAAACAAAAAAAAAAAAACAGAACAACAACATCCAATATGTTTAAGACAGCACTGCATAATTCAGAGGGGTTTTTTTTCCTCCTCATGCTTACCTTTTAGCCATCTCGTACTCCTTTGCTTCAAAGTATAGTTTAGCAAATAAAAATCCTTTGACAGGCCTCTGTAAATGACAAGCATGCAAACAGATCTTGATTCAGCAACAACATTTCATCTGAAAAATCGTTTCACTTGGATAGATCAGCTACAATTGGGAATTTCTCCATTGTGAGCCAAATAAAAGGTTTTCTTACAAGAGATACATTATAGCAGCTATGGCACGATTTCAAACAAGTCATGCACAGACCTCCATTAACAATTGCAGTGGTTAAGTTACCAATTACTCTTCTATTCCATAAACTCATGGTTAATAACAAATATCCTGCTAAAATAAGGGTGTATGTCTTGCAATGTGTTGCGCACAAAGAATAAATTAATAAATAATAGAATTAATGCCCGATAGGTCATTCCAGAGTTTGGGAGCAGCGACTGAATCAGATGCCACAGATATTTGCACTTGCACAATGTGGCGGCACGGTGACCGACTGCTTTTTCTCCAGTTTCCTCCCACGCAAAAACATGCACAAAGTTGTCCCTAAGGTGTGACGGTGAGTCGAAATGGTTGTTTGTCTATGTGTGCCCTAAGATTGGCTGGCAACCAGGTCAGGGTGCACCCCGCTTATTGCCCAAACTCAGGTGGGATAGGCTCCAGCACGCACACTTACCCTCGTGAAGATAAGTGGCTCAGATAATGGATGGATACACACTAATAGAATGAAGGAAAATAAATTTTGATTTGTGTGTTCCTTTAACCGAAATGCATGCTTTTGGAATGTGGGAGGAAACCAGAGTACACTGAGAGAAGCCACACACGCACAGGTATAACATGTAAATTCCACAACAAACATACACACATACATAACATGATGCAAATTAAAACACCTAAGTGAAATATTTACGCTGCAACTATCTGTTGTGTCAGAAAATGTGAGTACAATGACTTGTTTCTTATTCCAACTGCCGTAACATGTGTAATAGCAAAACCTGAGCAAGCACTCTTATGTTTGCTGAGCACTACCGTTTTATATTTAATATAATTTTGGTGGAATGTATTGTTTTTGATCTCTTACACAATGTGTATACTCTTTATTCTGAAATGTCATCCAAGTAAATGCTGTGCTATTTTGCTTTGGAATCAGCATTAGAATTTGTATTATAATTAATCGCCAATTTATTCACTCCATTTTGAACTGCACCCAGACAATCAGATTTGATTCGATTGAGCGATGATCATCATTATTATTTTTTTACTTACGCCAATTATGAAATCATGAAAATAAAATACACATATTCAAACTGATTATTTCAATCATATATCTTAACGTTGACATTCATATTAACTTTTTGTCCTTTATCATTTCTTTGCACACCTTGTAGATAACAGGACAGTGTGTGGGTGGGGGATGTCTAAATCACGTAGACCCGATAAAAACATGGTATAAAAATGCAGTAAACGGATTTCAAGAGGCGTATTGCAGTGTTATGTGTATAAATGTTTCTCCACTTATAATTAGGTTTCAGTTTCATTATTTTGCTTCTCTTTCATGGTGACTGATTACTTCTTAAAATGCCACCGAATGCACATCAAGATGATATCGACCCCCTTACTTATCAATCAGACTACAAATACGTTCTACCTGGGCATACAAGATCAAAACGGCCCATGTTGAATTGTTTTCGTGAGTCGAGACAAGCTAGCTAGCAGTGCTCAGTAGCCTAGCTTCCGTGGCCAGTCCACGCCGCGCGCTTTCTCTGCATTTTAAGAGGAGGGCACGGCTATCGTCATCATGCCGGTTAGCTAAAACAACTAGCTCGCGAGAACCAGCTGGGCTATATCGACCACAATAGTCCGCGTCGATGGAAGTCATCGTCAAACTGACGCTAATCTTTTTGAATGACTAATTCGGGCTCGCTAGTTGACTACAGATTCAGGTGAAGCAACAACGTCCGTTAGCAACGCTAACATTAGCCGCCACCGGCTCACTTACCTCTTTGAGTGAGGGAGACGACGTCTGTACGGAGGCCACATACCGGTCGACTTCAGTCTTACTTCGCCGCATGTCGATCAAATAAAGGGCACTAAAGAAGTTGGTAACGTTGCATAGAATGTGATTCGTCAGTAATTACAAATGCGAACATTAAAAGAGTGCTCACGCCGTCACATAACCCGCTCGTGATATTATTGCGCAGGCTCGCCAACGTCAAATTGTAGAGGGATCACGTGGCTCGAATTGGCCTCCTTGTCCAATCCAAACGGAGTATTTGCGTGACGCACGTGACGCAGTTTTAGTTTGGAGAAGGGGCGGGGCTCCAACGTCGCGAGAACTGAATTGAACGCTGAAAGTTGGTGACTGTGGAATAACACTGACGTTGAAATGACAACTAGGGAATAATTCTTTGCATTTCAGAGCTCCAGAAGATATGAGCTTTCTTGAGATCATTTAGACGGTTCAGGTGCCCATCACATTCTTTATATGATTTAACAGCACACTAATGTGTGTCAATACATGACGTGACGAGGTAATTTACATCTACCTACACACACATTAAAAAAAACAACAACAAATATGGCATCACACGTAATTTAAATAGATGTTTATTAGGCTGAAAGGACAGAATTTTTCATCGAATGCATTATGGTTTACAGCCATACATTTTGGCATGTTTATGTGATTGCCAAGCAATGTGAAGAAAAAAAAACTATAGTATACCACTGTGCCTCTTAAGTATGACTGAATTACAAATAAGTGGCTATATGAATGTATTTTAACATGGAATAATTAAAATGATCTGGCATCAGGTGTGAAATCCAGAACCAAAACACGGCTTATGTTTTGCTCCGCTGTGGAATGTGTAATTACTATATAGTGAATCCAAGACATTTGCTTTTTAGGGCAAAATACAGTTCAGGTTAAACAATACTGGATAAGCAGATTGGACAGTCTGCTTTGTTTTCGAGTCTGAAGAGAGTTGGGGTAAGAGGATAATTTTGCCTGGATTACAAACAGCGGCGACACATGTTTAACACCACATGCAAATGCCACCATTAATCAAGTTGTACTGTAACATAACAGTTGCTCTGAAAGGCAGCTGGCCACTATGAAGCCTTTTTTCCAGTGCAAAATTTGAACCAAACTTATTATTTAATGTCAGGCATGCATTGATAGTATATTGGGTAGTAAACATAAACCACATGGTGTAGAAACACACTTGAAATAGAGAACGGCACCATTAAAGTCTCCATTCAATCAATGCATAACACTAAACAACAAACCAATCAACTTGAAATGATAGTCAAATCTGTTACAGACACAAGAAGGCCACTGAAACAACTACTTGATATATATTAGCGAAAATACACATTTACAATACATAATATAGTGATAATAACAAAAGTAAATATCTCATACATAAGCATTCAACGAGAAACATTTTCTTCATTTAACTTTGGGCTTGCTCTTTAATATGCCAGAGCATCAGTAACACAGTCGATTCATCGCAATGTGTTAAATAAGAAGTGTAAAAAGGAAGCTATGTGAAAGCTTGTTTTGAGCTGCAGATGACACAGACAGCACACTTTGTGACAGAGTCTGCCTCATTACATGACACTCAAAGCTCTGCAGTGCTACGTAAAAAGACTCAATGTAGACATGTCAGGTTTTGACATGAACGCCGCATTTACTTCCGTGCAACGGTTTCTGACAGCTTCTTCAGTCTCTTCTTCAGCTCCAGTGGAAATTTTTCATAGCACTTCTTGCACACCGGCTTCATGTCAAACTCCACAAACTTGTTCCTGTGACAGAAACCAGACAATGGCAATTATTTATTTCACTTGTACAACAATATAACATACTACACGTATGGCAGATTTGATTCACCTCTGACGATGTTAGTTTTTTTTTGTTCTACATAGAGTGGGTTAAAAAAAAACCCTTCTCACGCCTGCTGAAATGCCAGGTTTTTGTGATGTACAAAAACTTAGACCAAGGTAACTGATTGAAATTAACTTTTTTTCCCCCCACCACAAATGTGACCAATAACCTGTACACCTTAACTGGGAAAAAAATCATTGCGAGACACAAAGTAAAAATCATCAACCTGTGGTAATGTGGTTGTAAATACATGCACACACTCTTATCATAGGATATTTCTGTGTTCAGAATGAATCAATCACATTCAAATGTATTCCAAATGGGAGTAAGCAAACACCTGCCACCATTTAAATCAAGTCCCAATGATTAACCCCAAATGATGTGCCGATTTTCCAGTCGACTTTTTTTCGCTTTCCAACAGAAGCCTGAAGGTTTTGTGCTAACACGAACTACAATTGTGAAATGTTGAGAATTCCCTTCCAACTTGTCTAAAGTTAAAATAGCCTTATTTATGTATTTTTAATATGACAAAAACCTGACATTTGACTTTTTGTATCTATTGTAATTTAACATGTTTGACCCTTTGGTATTTGATAGAGAAATACAATGTGTAGTAGAAAAAAATAAATGACAGAACAATGTTAGGTTCCAGCATGCTAACAACATTTAAAAATTAAAAACCCTAATTAACGGCACTATTAACCGTGACTGAATTTATCATTTAATTATCTCAAAAATGACTGCTGTGAAAGAGGTCATCGAAACAGGAAAGCTTTTTCACATGTCTATAGGGATAACTTGCTGACACGTGTGTGAAGTGGCTCTTTTCGCTGTCAAATGCCTTTAATTCGATTAACTCTGGCGTTCCTCCCACACAAGGTGGATAATCGCTGGCTGGACAAGGCACGTGTCAAACTCAGCGGTACTCCATTCGCATTTCCACAGTGGATACAAAAAAGCTGCCGGAAGTGATTAAGGCTTACACTCTGGACTCAGACAGAACAAGAGCCCGTGTAAAACAAAGCTGTCCCTTCAACTTGTGACTGATCCGACTTCCCTTTATGCAGAGCTTAGAGTCGTTTTCCAAGAACTTAAATCTGTACTTGCATTTGTTGCAGAGAAATGGTCAAATGAGGAAACGTGCACAGTTGCATTCCACCGCAATTCCAGAAATATGTCCAATTCTACAGCACTCTATAAACATGCTATACGGTAGTCATGCGGTCTTTACGGTAAAACATTTTGACCAAAGCCATTACTGGTGTGCCATTATATTTGTATGAAATGCATTGAGCTACCACATACAGTGTTGTATGAAAAGCCATTTGAGCATTTACAGTATGCCATATCCTTGATATCCATGTCAAGATCCATGAAGCTGTTTGCTTTTTGTCCTTACGAGAAAGAGAAAAATGTATGAATACTAGTAGAATGAACTAGTGTGGACGAGTAGGACAAATGTGTCTGACTAGTCACGTTTTTGTTTGTTGTTGCTTTATACTGTATGACTATCACATCTCTGCACACTAGTTGTACACCTTCAGCATACTAGTGGATAACTATGTAACTGGTGAGGAAAAACTGTACACGAGTTGACATTTGTGAGCTACTAATACTACGAGTGATGTGCCAGATGCTAACTAGTAGGGTTTTATACAGCAGTTGCTAGTAACACACACTGCTGACAACCAGTCCACAATTTTAACTCACTAGTAACACATAGTGCCAATAGTATTCTAAAGTTGTCCTACTAGTATTCCAAAATGGGCCTTAAGATGGATATCCTGTAAATAACAGGTGTCAAACCCAAGGCCCGGGGGCCAGATCTGGCCGGCCACATCATTTTATGTGGCCCGCGAAAGCAAATCAAAGATGGCAACTTTCATGTTACTTGCTAAAATCTCGATCAAAATTTCAAATTCTCATTTGTAATAAATAAGAGTGACACTCTTAAGCATTTTCTTGTGACCAAACCCCTCATTCCAGTCACTTAAACCGAACTGAATAAACCGTTATTCTTGACTTCTTTATATGGTTTCAGTTATAACGGCCCTTCAAGGGAAACTCACTGAAATATGGCCCATGAAAAAAATGAGTTTGACACCCCTGCTGTAAAGGCTTGTCATATTATGGTGCAGTCTAATGCCAGCGACCGATGAAACATACTGGCCAGAAAACTTGAATGTTATTAGAATAGTGCAGAGCTCCACCAAAGCCAAAGGATAAAAATTGTGGTGCATCATATTCGTATTTGAGTATTGTTGTACTCGTCACCAGGATAAAACTTTTTTTTTTGTCTCAGCGAGTAGGATGAAAAGAGGGGTGGCATGACTGACATAGAAACAACTAAACACATACGACAGAAGGAACGAAGAGAACTGACCAAGAGAAGAACAGCTGAAGTGTGGAGAAGGAAATGAGAGAGGATCACAGACACATGGGTATCAACGGTTTCTTCTTTTTCTCCTTTGAGTCGCGCTCCCGCTTTGACAACCGGCGTTTCACGTCATCTGGCAGACGTTCATAGCAGTGCTTACACACCGGCTTCAGATCCACTTCCACAAATTTATCCCTGACACAGCATGGACGAAGAGGGTCCCAAAAGATGGGAAGAATAAGAAGACAGGAGCGACATGCAGGAAGGGAGAGAAGAAGGAAAAGAAGCAGAGGTACAAGAATGATGGACAAAAAACATTAAAAGAATAACATGTTCTGGTAAGGCAGTGTGAAAAGTCCACACAAGATAATAAAAAGACACGAAAGCTCAACTGTAAAAACTAACAAGTTTGTGGCAGTACACGTGTTCATGTTTGTTACTTACTTGAGGGTGAGCTTGGTGTTGCAAGTGGAGCAAGCAAAACAGTTGACGCACCAAGCCTTGTTGAGGGCTGACACCACTGAAAAAAACACAAGAAGCACCATGGAACTATGACTGTATTAAGGGGGAAACAACTTTTGAACTTTTTAAAACTCAAAAAGTTAGCTCACCGTCTCCTTCTATAACGCGATTGCAGTGGTAGCAAACATCTCCAAACAGCTAAAAGTTACAGAAAGGGAGAACAAAAAACAATGTTAGCAATGCAGCAACACTTAATAAATATATTAAGACATCTGAATAATAATAATTAAAAAAAAAAACAGTTCAGCAGCTGCACTCTGGCCGGTTTTATAAAACACACATGCATTCAAATCCCCGTGCCACCTTGACCTTCAGCTACACCGATGCTCTGCAGGCGTTTTGTGTTATGAAAAAGACTCCTACTGTACAACACTCCCAATTTAGAATTTTTTTTCAAGTTTGATTGATTTGTTTGCTTCGTGCTTTTAAAAAAGTGATAAGTAAATGAAACTACATCTTATTCACGTAAAACTCAAACTAACTATAGTTATAGAAAAAAGGGGTTTTGCTTTCATCTCTTTCAATTAAATATACATGAGCTTTCAGGGTTCATTTTCAACGGTTTTTATTTTTTGTTAATGCCGGGCATCTGTTGCGAAGAAGGAAGGTCAAGCAGTTATTTGAGAATCGTAGTTTACTTCACTTTTTTACATAACACTAAATTTTAACATTTTGCACTCAACAAATACTCCATATTAAAGAAAGAAAAACTAATACTGAAACTAACCTAAATCCAATTAAAATAAACCAAACAAACAAACAAAAAAAAACCCTAATCAAAACTAACTGAATGGAAAATACAAAATCAAATAAAAACAAACTGTCATGAAAAATCTTATTTTTCCGAACTATTAGCCCTGGTATAGAGTAAAGGTGCAAAACAATTTCAGTGGGATTACAATTTGAATTCGAAATGGCACAGCCAGTTCACAAGGGGGGGTTGCAATGAGCTGCTTCTTCTTGTCATTTTACAATATGAATGACCTTGTCAGGACTGTAAATGTGGCATTTCCTTCAGAGATTTTATTTTTGGTGTACATCTCTCCTAGAAAAGGCGATTCGGTGCGATACAACTCAAGGACGGTACATTTTAAAGTGGAACAAATCAACAATTCATCTTTTACATCTCAACCGAATTTCCGCTTCAAATCAGTTTTTTTTTACCACTGCAAGTTGAGAATCAAACACAAAAATACAAAAGGAGAAGACATGCAAGCAACTACCGTAGGCCAAAGTTTGTGCTCACGCAGACGAATTATCAAATGTAATTACAGCCTCCAAATGGCACTGTTATTTTATTTTATTTATTTTTTGACCAAAGAATAAAAAGTAAGAGTCGACTATTTTTTTTTTTTTTAATAAGTGGACAGAGCAGCAGGCCATTAATCACTGAATGGCAAGTATTTAAACTAAGGCATACACATGTCAAATCCTTATGACATGTGGTTGCAAATCTCCCTAATACGCAGCCATGACAGTTATCCTTCTTTATCGCATAATATAAATATATTACCTGGTTGTAGTGTGTTTCACAGTAGGCCAGGCCTTTGCGTTCATAGTGGCGATGTCCCAGGAAGGGTTTCTCACATTTAGCACACACAAAATGCTGCAAACATGGCCAATGTCAAGCACAAACAGTTAGCTCTGCAGCAAAGTCAGCTCAAGACTTTAGTTCACATCAGTCCACCTGTCCTGGTGTTGTTTCACAATTATGAATCAAAATAGAGAATAGAAAGAGAAGGAGCAAAGTGCTCTCTATTCGTGAATGGATGTTGGGAATTCATGGAGGGGTTCCATAGCTAATATCATGTCATGTGATTGTTTATGAGGACAGCGTGGATGAGTAGCAGACAAAAAGCTGGGTAAAGAAAGAAACAAACAACAACAAACAAAGCAATTTAAGAGCAAATGAAAAAGTGGTTATTTCAATTTTGTTAACCATATAACACCTAATAATGTATTCATTATCATTTACCGGTACATTAGTGCAGCTCTTTTACAGAGGCCAGGCAAAGCTACTCGCGGCAGCAGGAACATCAGGCTGAGTGTTAGAAGCCTCACCATGTCAAAGTGTGTCTCGCAATAAGCATGACCGTTCCGCTCAAAAAATGGATGGCCCTGAAAAGGGCGCTCACATAAAGTGCAGACGTGGTGCTGCGTGTGGAAGAGGGAACAGAGCAAAGTGGCCAGAAAGAATGAAAAAAAGGATAGCTGCATTTATGTGGGGGGGATAGAAGAGACACTGGAGATAAAGGAGAGATGATGTGATTGAATGAAATCAAGTGCACCTAACTGAGGAAACAACACAGAATCAATGAAAAAAAAAAAGACTTGGAGACTGTTGACAGTAATGATAGCGTTTTACATGATGTGGAATTATTGCCTAGGATTAGAGAATGATGTAACTTTACTACTTGACGCCCAATATACAGGGTGTCCCAAAAACGGACATCATTTCATATCTACAAAGTAATAACGGTGCCAATTCTCATTTAAATGATCAATTCAGGTAAAATGAAATCGGTGTGTTTGTGTCATTATAAATCTACATGCGTTTGAATATGTCGATGAAATAATGAGAAATTTTACTTCGTTTGTCTGACATATGCACTCACTCGGAAAGTCATATTTCAAATAAATTCAAATTTTTTGTGGCACCCTGTATTATGAGTTATGTGAATATGTGTTTGAAAGAGTTTGAGGTCAGACCTCCACATGCCACTGCTTGCCCATTGCATTGACCACACGGCCCTCAATGGGTCTCCTGCAGGCCCCGCAGATGGGGACGCCCATCTTGTCGTGGCAGGGCAAACAGTACAGCTCCCCCTTCAGCTCCCTGGCATCAGCAGTCAGTTCCTTTCTACAGACACGGAGGGGACATTTTTACTCAATCAAGTCAAGTCATTGTATTAATTTGTATTTGCACTTTCGTAAAAGATACATGTGATTTAAAACAGCAGCATTGTAGAGCTACACTGCAAAATCGGAGTATGTACTAAGTAAACAATTGTTTTATTATCGTGCTTGTGATTTGCATTGGTGTTGCCTCCTGCGTGAAGTTAAATTTAGTAATCATCTCACTTTACGATTTTGTGTTTTTCAGTTATTCTAAACATTTTTTACAGTTCTAGCTTAAAAATCACTTGGCCCTCCAACTACAGTCACCACTATAATGGCTAACATGATGACAGAAAAGCAAATTATGCCAAGATGGTCATCAAAAATGAAGCCAAGGTTTTATTTTGTTAAAAAAAATTATTTAACCCTTTCAAGCACCAATAATGATAACCTGTAACCTGTTTGTGGATAGTTTGAATATTTAATTCAGTGATTCTGCACAATTTGTACTGTTGTATGTACCACTAAGTTGTATTAAAGGCATATTTTGTGATACAGCTCTTGTACTGTGTTTCCGGATCACGCTTGCTCATGTACAGTATGGTCTCGATCCCTACCCGCAGTTGTTGCAGTTGAAGTGATCAGGGTGGTAGGGGTCATTCTTGAACAGAAGGGGCTGCTCTTCAATGATGGCGTGACACTTTTGGCAAATGTACTTGCCGAGGCCACGAGCTTTCTCTCTGTTGTGGCACGGACGACACAGGTGCCTGATAGCAGCGAAAGTAGGGACAGGTTCAACATTAATGTTATGAGCTACAATTTCAATACCAGGGTTTTTCCTGCGTTCAAAATTGTATGGCGGCCACATCCAGCTAAATTTGTGTCAGAGCGATTGATATCGCTCAACACAACGTGAAGCTCCAACTGTGCTGATTGAGGGATTGATGTGCCTCGGCGGCAGCTTGGTATTTTAAATGCAGTCGCAGCATTGCACCATTATGGAAGTGGTATACCAACAACAGTACACGGGAAAAACCTGAAGCAAAGGCTCACGTCCTCTTTCACCGAGCTCCGGTACACCTCCGTGTCCTGTGCACATGCCGCCCCAAAACACACCGCAAACTCGGGATAAACTGGGGGGGGGGCGGTCATTGCTACGACGGTGTTCTAAAAGCTAATGAAAATGAAAGGAAAAGTGTAATCCTTTTGCCAGAAAGGAGCCAAGTGCTCAAATGATGCGATCTGATTTCACCATTGACGTTGTAGGCACTTGGCGACCAACCTTTTAGCATCGTGGACTTTTGTGGGCTACTAAACGACTTGTCGCGTACGGTTTAGACTTCCGAGCCGCTGCTATCTTCAAAAACAGGTGTCATGCTTCTACATACCCTGACAGAAGAAAATGAGGACACGAGCTTCACTTCTGACTTATGGCCGAGCGACGTTAGCCATGTGAGCTTTGCTTGCTCGTTTTAAGTCATACACCATAGTGCTCACTTGTGTGTTTACTCTACTGACTTTTATTTATTTATTTATTTTTTTATACACTGCACTTTTTCACCTTGCAGTACCGTACTTGTGAGACTTCATGAGTCCTTAAACAAGATTTTGTGGACTCTAAGAAGAGGCCAATTCTAATAAATGAATGCTTTAACATGATAATAGTCATATTCTTTTTGGAATTCTTAACTTAAAGTTTGTTTCCTGTAAAAGAAAGTGAGTCTGTTGAATTTATAGAACACATGCACGTAGTGGCGCATGGTCAGGATGGGACAAACTCTGACTCAATTTGAGCCAGGAAAAACCCTGAATAATGAATGTATCACTATTTAAGATAACAGACCTGCCGGCATTCTTAACAAATCCAACATCGGCAAGCACGGCCTGGCAGATGTCACAGCAGAAACATTCCGGGTGCCAGCTGTTGTTCATGGCCTTGATGACGCGGCCAATGATGAATTCACCTGAGATAGGACATCATTTCGATGAGTTTGTTCATAAGAAACAGATCTCTTGGATATTTACTTTTTTTTAACTTGAGGATCCAACATCCCTTTGCCCAAATGGGTTGCCTTTGAGTACAGTTTATATACTTACCACATTGGTGGCAGCATGGAGCAAAGAGCATCTGGAAGTCATGCTCACAGTATTTCCTGTCCTCAAACTGAAAACACATTTGAAGGTTTCTTACAGTTATCGCTTGGTGTCATAAGTATACCATTCAGGAAAAAAACTGCCAACAAGACAAGGATTATTTATTCACAGTATGAGCAGGAGGAACAATGAGATGATCATGAATACTGTTACAGACCAGATTAAAAAAAAAAAAAAAAAAAAAAGGGAAGACACATTTACTGTAAGTAGACTCTGAAAACTCAATACTGTACCAATGAGTCAATATCCTTCAGTTATATTTGGATTTGTGTGAATGTAACATGATAGCTTCCCAAAGCAGGTATTGCTCACGCAGTTGCTACAGTGTGTTTGAAGAATTACATTTCATTGACCAAGGGGAGCAGGAGGTTATTGAAGGATGATGTCATACACTTGTTTAGGTAACAATATGAACCAAACAGTAGCTTTACCTCATAGAAGAGTCCCTCGGGGAACTGTTGGAAACACTGAGCGCACACAAAGCATTGCTCATGGTAAAGTTCTCCGTTGCTGTTCACTATCTTCTCTGCCGGAGCAAAGCCACTCTTGCAGCGCTCACACATGGCATTGGCAAGGGCGTTGGCCATGTTGCTAAAGGATTAAATAAAATTGGGATTAGTTCCTGGGAGTACTGTCACGTTCACGAGTTATAGGTCAACTGCGAATTAATTTTAGAAAACCCTAAACGAAATGTTTTTATGTCGACCGGCATTAAATTAATTTGCTTTGCGAGGACAAAAGTGTATCGTTCCAATTTTCTGGTCCATTTACATGCCCTATTCTTTTCTCTTGGCCACTCAAACAACTGTTTGCATGAATGTGAACAGTGCGTCGCCACACAGCACCAAGGCATTTCGCCGAATAACTCGATAACAATTGGGAAAGAGCAGTGAACAGGACAATCAACAATGCGTTACAATGGCTGACTGGTGACTTGGCAGTCTGTAAATGACGTCACTCGCCGGAGATTGCCAAAAAATAAAAAATAAAAGCATTTTCGTTGTTAAGCGTGTTGCTATGGGTCTAACTATGAACCTGGGTGGGTTCATAGTCAAGTATTACTTAACGAATGGTTGGCCAAGTTTACTTCACATCTGACCTTTAAAGCGGTGATCGATTGATAGCAATGATTGGAACACTAATTATGCAGTGCTGAATATTTGTAGAGAGCGTTGTGTTCTTTCATGACAGCAAAGAACTGCACCAAAGCACATTCACAAGTCTTTACTCCTCATTGGATTCATGAAAAATATGCCAGATTGATTGGGGATAAGATCAGAAACTGTTATTATGTTACCATGAAAAAGAAAATCAATCAGACGCTCAAGAGAATCCAAGCGAACTGGACAAATAATTAACAGCAATGAAAACATGACCTCCTTGACAGGAGTCATACCATTTTATCACGAGACCATGAAAACTAGGCGAGGCCTACTCATCGGTGTCACATTTTGGGTGTGGAGAAGATTTGCCGTGGATGTGAAAACTGAAATGAGTGTGAAAATTTGCTGATGTAATCTATTTTCCTATATCTTTGTAGTAAGATATACACTGTATATTAAAACACACCACTAATTAATTACTTGATTTGCGTTGTTAAGTATTGAGAGAATCTGACCTGGAGAAAATGGGGTTCCTTTGTTTTAAATAATGTATTTATGGTTTGTGATTTATGGATGTCTCCTTACAATCTCATCTCAGTAAATGAAAGTATGTTGCAGACATCCTGTAAAAATCAAATAATACAATATATTTGCTCTATAATCTATAGATTCAGACCTTAGGTAACATGCACAGTCAGCCCTGCCTGATAGGATTAAAGGCAGGAAGTGATACGTCCCTTTGGCATTTCCACCCTGTATTCTGCCACTGCCTCATCGGAGAACAAACTTTCTTCACTAAACACAGTGGAATGGCAAACTCTGCTGCTAAGAACTTCATGTTTACTGGTGAGGACATCATCCTTGTTCCGATTCTACAGCTGCGGTCAGTCAGATGTAAGACCTCCATAATAAGCAATCAATTTGGAAATATTTAAGAATGTCATTCAGCATGTGACAAATTTGTAAATCTTTGTTATATAGAAGAATGTGCTCAGGACTCATTAAAAACATGTTTTGTAACTCAGGGTGTAAACTTTAACTTGCATTTTTCCAAAGGCATCCTCAAAATTAGAAGCACTCTCAAGAGAGTACAGACCTCCGCTAAGGCTCTACAATCCCAAAATGAATCATCTGATTCATTTAATAAGAAAAAAAACCTACCCACCTCTCATTTGTCGGATGTAAAGAAGACTGACTGTTGTCAGTGACCTTGTTTACTTGGACTGTGACGTAAATGGTCAGTCAGTTTATCATTTAAATCTGTTAAAACAAAAATTCGGATAAACCCAAAAAGAGTCAGATAAAGCCTCCTTGGAACCGACCAGTCCAGGGTGAACCCCGCCCCCTAAACAAAATCAGCTGGGATATGCTTCACGCTTAAACAACAAGATTATACAACGTTTCAGTCAAATGGGAACTACATTTTCTCTCAATTTATTACATGCAATTACCATGGAATTTATAAATTTAGGTTTTCTGACAAATCCCGACAAGAAGACCATAAAGAAGAAACCTTTCGCTTCAACGAATCCGCTGATGACTTCATGTCCTCGTTCAGTAAATATAGCATTTATATTTAGCCTTCATGTCATTCATGGTCACATACTCAGGATACCAGCTGGCATTTTCTAGTTTGCATAATCACTCCTCCCCCTTGGCACAAAAATAGCTTATTCTCTGTGTTACTTTACGCAGTTTGATGCTATGAATACACAATTAACCGAAAAAAAAAACAGTCGGTAAGAACCAGCCTCTGTATAATTTCATTTCTTCACATTTGGTCACACTCCAAGGTCGCAGCTAACGGGCCAGCGAAGTATCAGTTTATGTGAAGACAGAACATCCCAATGCATCCACCGCCACCAATCCATATGAGGTTTCAGCATTGTTAACACGATCAGCGGCATTTCAGTCAACATGTATTATTTGCAAATTGTGATGACAAATTCCGAGTAGGAAATCATTTTGACATTAACAGTATCAAAGATGGAATCAACCCGTAATTTCCACTATACTTTATGAATTTGTATTTTAAGTCTTGATTCGGTATTAGGAACAGCATACTATTGTAGATAGTGGGGGATAAACTGCTATTATCCCCCACATCAACAATTTCAACAAGTAATCACAATGTAAAAGTGTCCTTTCTGTACTTACAAGCGTGCATAAAAATCACAAAACTCCTTATAGACTTTGACGTCGCTTTTCCGCCTCTGGGACTTGGACACCAGCATTTCTGCCTCTCCTCCATCCCCATCCCGAAACCTTTGATGGTAACCATTCATCTCCCCATGTGGATTGTAGTCCAAGACCTCGCCGTCCTCAGGGATGGAAGGCGGTAAAGCACGGCCGTTCATCTCTGCGCTCTTGAACAGGGACCCAGACTGAGTTTTCAAAGTTCCCAGTTCCAGTAATCCAAAAAGCAAGCGGGAGCCTGACCCACTCGTCAAACTGTGATGGGTGTAGTCTCTCCCTCTTCTGCATGCAAGTACACACACCCACTCACTCCTTTCCCATATCAACACGCTCTCTTTTTTCAGCCGCGCACACACACACACACACACACACACACACACACACACAGTCTCCTGCCTGTCGAACTTGCTGTCTATTATTGGACCAGTTACTGAAATGAAGAGCCGATTCTGACGCCTGCCTGCTGAGCGGTTACACATTCATGCACACCTACACACATGGGTACTAACACACAAATTTGTAGTTTCCAAATAGGGTTGCGACTGTCAAATTTTTTTTTTTTTACAAATTAAATGCTCTACTTATTATCCCATCAATTTACTTCAACACTGGAACATGCATGTGAGTACAGGTATTTATATATTTTTGTCTCCTGTCTGACTATCCTCACTTTTTATCTGTGACATTGAATGTGGATGGTTTTAAAAGGCAGTGCCTTGTCTGATGAGTGACGTGGGTGTCAGCGAAAGGAAGGTATAGAGATAGTTGACTCTGGTTAACCCATTCGCTAGTTTGCTTGTTGAGTGACTCAGCATGAATTGTGGCCATTGGCACTGTGTGTGCATGTGAATATGCCTATTCCATCTGAATTGTTTTCATTGATTGTTATATCAAGACACTGAGCATGTACGAGGAGCTACATCTTTGACAACTTTTAGGGACATTACAACAACTGAAAAAAATACCCTGAAAAATCATCACTGTGTAGCTTTGAGGCAGAAACTTCACTTTGACCTTGTTTTGGAGTCATATTTCGGCTAAAGCTATTTGTGAATCACAAACATCTTCAGGTTTAGGCTAAAGTTATACACAGTAACGGTGTGTGCGTGTGTGTGCGTGTGTGTGTGTGTGTGTGTGTGTGTGTGTGTGTGTGTGTGTGTGTGTGTCTCAGCATGATCCAATGACACGTAAGGAGATGCTTTTAGGGAGCATATTGCATTCAGATTTGTTTATTTTGTACTGCTGTGCAATCTCTGACGAACAAAGGGGCATTTGGTTTTGTTATTTGCCAACTGCATCTCCTAGTCCTCTGGTCTTTAACATGACTCCATTTGTCAAATAGACAGATAGACACCCAGTGAACACTCATCTGTGCTGGCAGCTGCTTGTGTGTGTGCGTGTGCGTGTGTGTGTGTGTGTGTGTGTGTGTGCGTGTGTGCACGAGAGTGGGGGGAGCGTCACTGTTTACACGTAATATATAGCCGCACAGCTGTATTTGTTTCCACTATTAAGACTCAATGCCACCTATTCGTTGTATATAATATATATTCTGTACAGTATAGTAAACTACTTAAGCATCAAAGGATTGTGTAACTACGGGCAGTTATAATGACTCGTGCAGGGAAAGATTTCACCAGGCAAAAAAACTAAACAAAACACAAACTTATCAGTACTTTGCCATAACAGAATAATGGATGCAGAAAAGTCACCTGTCCCAGTTTGGGCTAAGGAAAGAGGGGAAAATCTAATCAGCGACAGGAGGAAACACACACAAGCTTTCCTCCTGATTACAGCCCTTTGTACAATGATGCAAAGCGTACCACCCTATTACAAGGAAGATTATTATTGGAAGAGCCTGCGGCAACAAAGTTTCCCAACTTTCTCCCAGCCCTACGAACTTGAAAGGTCTTAAAATCACGATTTTTAAGGATCCTTCTAGCCATTAGTCATTCTGTTATAGTTCATTATGTGTAAATATGCCTGAAATTGCCTTTCAACAGGATTAGATTACTGGGACAGAAAAACGACAAGCAAATTTTCTACTTGTCAATTCTAAAAATTATGTTCAAAATCTCACTGGAATGACTATTGCTGTGACAGATTGATACTTTTAACCTTTATTTTATTTTGTCAAAGAACTATTTTCTTCATAGTGCCCCATTGTACGTTCGTGATTCAATATTGTGCTAAATGTATTAAAAATAAAAATGCCTCTGATTATGTACCATACTCAAATTCTCCTCTGCCAGTAATACAAAACCTACCTTCCCCAGACAGACGAGATGAGCTATACAACAACAGCAGGAGTCCAACAGCCTGATAATAGCGGAGCTAATACATTATCAAAGTCCCTTTTATAATGCGTTAGGTCGCAAGAGACTACTGACTGAATTGATAAAGAAGCATACCAAGACTGCCACCAGAAGTGTACTCGCACTCTTCACAACCTCTGACAGTGCGGAGCACAAATGAACCTGCGCAAACCAATGCATTTCTGTAGAATGGTTCTGTAGCATGGTGGCATGCAAGTACTGTGCAACTTTGCATTATTAAACACATAATTTGCATATGAGGTAAAGGTATTATATGATATTGTCCGCATGACCATCATGTTCGACTACAGTGATCCCTCGCTACTTCGCGGTTCGTTTATCGCGGGTTCAGTGTATCACGGATTTTTTCAAACAAAAAAAAAAAAGATTTTTTTTTTTTTTTAATATACATGGAGTACAGTACTGTATATATTGCTCTATGTGACTCGCTGATGTTTTGCAGCTTCTCGCGGACCGTTTGCGGACTTAAAAAAAACATTTTTTTTTTTTTACCTGTTTATGTTAATTGGATGCTACTTCGTGGATTTTCGTTTATCGCGGGTGGTTTTGGTTCCCATTAACCGGGATAAACGAGGGATTAATGTATATTATCTGTGACTTTGAGTGCGTATGGCTCTAAAAGGCGGGGCCTGGCCTGGTGAGTGACGTGGGTGTCAGTGTATGAGAGTGTAGAGTTGGCTGGCTGTTACCTGGCTAACCTTAACGTTGAGTGACTCGGCACGAGTTGCAGCTATCGGCAGCTAATGTATGAATGTGCTTGTAATCTGTTTGTTTTCTTACCATTTGTTAAGTTATATAGACACAGCGATTGAGAGCGGCTGTGTCTATATAACTTGAGCCACTCACAGGTACATTACAATGCGTTCTAATTAGCAAAGGTAGACAATATTAAATAAGTTAACATTGGTCTGTTCCCTTGTGTTGCCAATCGTAGCTATGATGTGGTATGCAACGCACTTGATCTTTTTTGTTAATGATCACAAACTTTGGACATTCTCTGTCACTTGAAGACTCTTTCCTCCTGGCTTGCCACCATCTCGTCAACTTATTTCTACATGGAGCGGTGCTCCAGGACAACTTATGACCACAATCAATCAACTTTCATTCCATTTTTACAAACCATAACATTATAATGAACCCTAATCTTCCAATTCATGTTTTGGGAAAGGAAAATATTTTGAAAGTAGCTATTGAACTAGTGACATGCAAGCAGACACAGGCTGAAAAATGTACCGGACGCCTTGCTAACATAAACATGTACAGTGTCAACAGAAACCAAGGTAACAAAGACTCGAGCGCAGCTTGGGAAGCGCACAAGTGTATGCACAAATCCACCCAAGCAAACACACACGCGCACACACACACACACACACACACACACACACACACACACACACACACACACACACACACACACACACACACACTCAAGTCACGACGCCCACTTTGACCTGTACTATCTCCAGTCCCACTTGAGTCCGCATGGCAACAAAGAACACAAATAGGGACGTATAACCTTTTAGTAGCTCAACGTAAACCATCAATATATAAGTAGCAAATACACTTACCAGTAACCAAGTTCATTTAAGTGCTTATTGAATTTTGGTACAGTACTATCTCAGCCTTTCTGATCTTTTTGTTCCTGGCATGACAGAAAATGACAGCAAATTTTGAATACCTTAATAGCTGTGTCCTTTGCGCAACGATATCACTGAAGTGTTACCAATGCTCACAAAGATTATGGTTCATCATATTTCCGACATAAGGTACAATAATAGTTAATAATCAAATACAGTGTAAGCATGTAGCAATAAAATAATGATCATCATTGTTTAATAACATTATTGTAGTCAAAGCTTGCTCCTGTGTGTGATGGTGCGAGTGTGAGCGTTAGGATATACTACAAATGTTATACTTGGGGAACGTCAGCAGATCATTTTGTACAGAGGAACAAAATCAAAGTTTGTTTAACTTGACCAGGGACACCTTTAAAGACAAACCCCCTCTTTGTGTCTACATTCTTCACATTGCAACATTCCTTGCAACCACTTGAGGAGGGGAAGGACTTGTGTTGATGTATGGTCACACCGCAATTCCACATGCTGTGCCCGTCCTACTCATCCGAGAGGAATGAAATGCACTACTTTGCAAAACTCTTGCCTAATCAATGTCAGTCGATAATTTTTTCTCCGAAAGACAACAAAGACAAATCCCAGTCTGATATAAAATGTAAGTAAAGTCCAAAGGCTCAGATAATGGGCTATTGATTGGGACAAAAGACCAGTAAACTCTCAACATTTTTTGTCAAAATCCACCCCACCCCCCTAAAATCGGGGCATTGGTAATGGACAAATTGTCCAAGGCAATCACCATCAGCATTAATCTGTCCATTCTTGTGAAACAACAAAGTAACCTTATGTGCCATTCAAAGAAGAGAAACTATGGGACTCTGAGGTCATGACGGAGGCTGGACACTAACATAATCACTTCTGCCTAGTCCTTCCTGGTCTTATGTGTCTCTGATTGCACAACAATGGTTACCAACCTACAACTACAACACAGAACTGATTTACTGAGAATGGTTCATGCATGAGGAGTATAACCGCAAGTCACAAAAAATGGTTGACTTACCTGAAGCCATCCCCAAGCACACCATAGCTGTCTGGTCTCTCCTGTCTTCGCCTGTACAAGCCCGAATTTGACAACGCCTTGAGTCTCAAAGAGTTCATCTCCCCGCCAACCTTTGTCGTTCCTTCCTCGTCAGCTCCGAGCTCACGACCCACTGGGCCAGAAATTTGCCAGAGAAAGTGTGTGTGTTCAGGGTTGTTCCAAATAAAAAGATTAGGCTTGTGTCGCTCTAGCCCCTTATCTGACTGACACACCTCCAGGGCACACGGTCTTGAGGAAGGACGTGCAGAGGTGTGGTAACACTGCCTGCACACCTATC